CTATCTCTTCTTCTACATCTACTTTTCTTCCTTTCTCCTTTTTTTTCTTATCCTTACCAGGCCCGTCCTCATTTCAATAATGTGACATACAATATTTTAAAGTATTTTTAATTTATTAAATAAAGTTGCTGTAGTTTTTTTCACAGCAAAGTACTCACAAAAATAAAGCTGGTTTTGATCAAAAATTTGTTAACATTAATCAAACATTTAAAATCTATCTCTTGCTTGCCCTTAAAAAAATGACTGAAGTTGACTTTTTGGAAGTGGCTGATGAATGGCACATAGCAGGAAAAAAATGGCACATAGCACCTCTTCCCTGCTCCCGAAGAAGAAGACATTCCTTTCCCATTATGGTATTTCCTTAGCCATTGATGTGGCTAGCCATTTGCTAGCATGTGGACACATAGGGTGATGAGAGAAGAATCTCTATCCAGTTCTAGTTAAACATAGAGATGTTCTAGTAACCAGATGGTTTTTGCTTGGCAGTTTAACAAGCAAAGTGTTTATTGGCTTTGGAAACCCATTCATAGCATTGTGTTTTAGGTATTCATGGTTCTGTCTGTTTTTTTTTTTTTCTTCCAGAGTGTGGCCATGGTTTATGTTCCCATCAATTTTATTGTGTGGCAATTATATGTTAATTCTTTGCTCAGCCTACTGACAGAATCTCCTTACCTAATTATGCATTTCATTGTAGACTTCTATGTAAAATAACTGTGTAGTATATTTAATTAGTCATGAGTTTAATTTAAATGAAATGTTTGGTATGTTGACTACATGATTAGCATTTTGTAGCATCTATAGAAGTTGCCTTACATCTTATACATTTTATAATGTCCTGTATCTTTGTAAGGACCAATAAACTCGGACATTGGGTATGATTCTAAGGTCTGTTCTCAACTTTTAAATTTCCTTATGCATTGAGAAACATTTATGCAATCTTTTTCATAATGACAGAGCACATTAGAAGAATGGGTGTACCCAGTCATCTACCAAAGGATTTGAAATTCAACTTTGATAGAATTCTCTTATGACAGTTGATTCACAGACCAAAATCGTTAGAAATACTGTCCAGCCAAACCTGAAACGTAAAACTAATAAATCAATAGTCAGGTGAAGAGCTCTTATTTAAATGTATCTGGAAACCAATATAAATGGAAAAATTAAAATAGCTTTATCAGAAATATTAATCAGTACAGTACCCTTACAATTCAGTCAGATGAGTTAAAAATAATATTCACTGAACCAGAGTATCAATTTCTAATGGAAGCCTTGGGAAAACTGTTAGCCTCATAACTTATGCACACCACCATCTGATTTAATTCACCCAGACACCTGAGACTCGGTTCATGGACAATGATGCTTAGGTTCTAAGCCACTGATCCTCCCGTCATTCAGAGAACGTGTCGGTGAATTTGGACTTAAAGATTAGAAAGAAATCTGCTCATGTGCTGTGGATTGTGAATTAGTTGGTAAGGCCCACGGATCCACTCCATATTTGGACAATACAGGCTGGTCCATTTTGTGATGGCACTGGCCACACTCTTTCATTCCAGGTCTGAAAAGAGCACATTTCATCACTTTAGGATGCTTTCACTTACAGAGAACCAGTCATATGATTTGGTTCTGTGTCCCCAAGCAAATTGAATTGTAACCCCCAATGCTGGAGGTGGGGCCTGGAGAGAGATGATTCGATCATGGCGGCAGATTTCCCCTTCAGTGCTGCTCTAGTGATAGTGAGTAAATGCTTGAGCGATCTGGTTGTTTAAAAGTGTATGGAACCACGCCTCCCTCTCTTCCTCCTGTTCTGGCCATGTGACATGCTTGCTCCCTCTTTGCCTTCCACCATGGTTGTAAGTTTCCTGGGGCCTCCCCAGAAGCTGATCGGATGCCAGCACCGTGCTTCCTATACAGCCTGTGGAACTAACTGTGGAGCTAATGAAACCTCTTTTCTTTATCAATTACCCAGTCTCAGGTATTTCTTTATAGCAGTGTAAGAATGGACTAATACAACCAGTTTGGGGTTCTTCAAACCAAGTTATAAATTCTTTTAACATTTTCAGTTTGCAAGACTACAGGTAGAAAAAAAGGATGGAGCAGAGAGCAGGGCAGGAGATGATACAGAAATTAGAGCAGGGGAGAGGGGTGTCAGTGCTGAAGGGATTTTATTCTTTACCCAGTCCTTTCATCACAGTGAAATGTGAAATTAGCATGTGTTCAAGACTTACGTAAAATTACGCAGAGGTTTGGGGTCAGAAATGAAAGGAAATCAATGTAAATAACTTTTTAAAGTTATATTTTCTTGGTATGGGTGGATATTTTGGAATAAAGGTTCACTGACTATGCTACAGAGGAACACCTTTATTTAATAGTCTCATGATTTGAGGAGGAAGAAGGTGCACACTTAAATGTGGGCAACATTAATGGTTAATTTTTGCCGGCCAAATTTAAAAAGGTGTTCATGGAGAAGTGTTTGTAAGCCTCCACTGTAACTTTCCATATGAAATCCATCACCAGGAGAAATTTCCATTTTTCAAAGGAAAAAAATATGCCTTGATGGTTTATTTCATACTCATATGGTCTTTAATAATTAGACTTCAATATAGAAAACTGCATTTCTCATTTGAAGAAGGCTTTATTCTAATAAATTCCACTTTCCTTTATTTATATATTTATTTATTTATTTATTTTTATTTTGAGACTTGGTCTCGCTCTGTTGTCCAGGCTAGAGTGCAGTGGCATGATCTTGGCTCACTGCAACCTCTACCTCCCCGGTTCAAATGATTCTCCTGCCTCAGCTTCTGAATAGCCATAATAGGGATTACAGGTGTGAGCCACCATGCTCAGCTAATTTTTGTATTTTTAGTAGAGACAGGGTTTCACCATATTAGCCAAGCTGATCTTGAACTCCTGACCTCAAGTGATCTGCCCGCCTCGGCCTCCCAAAGTGCTGGGATTACAGGCATGAGCTACCATGCCCAGCCCCCTTTCCTCTTAAAAAATGCTACAGCAACCAAAACAGCATGGTACGGGTACCAAAACAGAGACACAGACCAATGGAACAGAACACAGCCCTCAGAAATACTACAACACATCTACAGCCATCTGATCTTTGACAAAACTGACAAAAACAAGAAATGGGGAAAGGATTCCCTATTTAATAAATGGTGCTGGGAAAATTGGCTAGCCATAAGTAGAAAACTGAAACTGGATCCTTTCCTTACTCCTTATACGAAAATTAATTCAAGATGGATTAGAGACTTAAATGTTAGACCTAATACCATAAAAACCGTAGAAGAAAACCTAGGTAATACCATTCAGGACATAGGTATGGGCAAGGACTTCACGTCTAAAACACCAAAAGCAATGGCAACAAAAGCCAAAATTGACAAATGGGATCTAATTAAACTAAAGAGCTTCTACACAGCAAAAGAAACTACCATCAGAATGAACAGGCAACCTACAGAGTGGGAGAAAATTTTTGCAATCTACTCATCTGACAAAGGGCTAATATCCAGAACCTACAAAGAACTCAAACAAATTTACAAGAAAAAAACAAACAACCCCATCAAAAAGTGGGCAAAGGATATGAACAGACATTTCTCAAAAGACATTCATGCATTCAATAGACATATTAAAAAATGCTCATCATCACTGGCCATCAGAGAAATGCAAATCAAAACCACAATGAGATACCATCTCATACCAGTTAAAATGGCAATCATTAAAAAGTCAGGAAACAACAGGTGCTGGAGAGGATGTGGAGAAATAGGAACACTTTTACACTGTTGGTGGGATTGTAAACTAGTTCAACCATTGTGGAAAACAATATGGCAATTCCTCAAGGATCTAGAACTAGAAATACCATATGACCCAGCCATCCCATGACTGTGTATATACCCAAAGGATTATAAATCATGCTGCTATAAAGACACATGCACACATATGTTTACTGCGGCACTATTCACAATAGCAAAGACTTGGAATCAACCCAAATGTCCATCAGTGGCAGACTGGATTAAGAAAATGTGGCACATATACACCATGGAATACTATGCAGCCACAAAAAAGGATGAGTTCATGTCCTTTGTAGGCACATGGATGCAGCTGGAAACCATCATTCTCAGCAAACTATTGCAAGAACAGAAAACCAAACACCTCATGTTCTCACTCATAGGTGGGAATTGAACAATGAGATCACTTGGACAGGGGAAGGGGAACATCACACACCGGGGCCTATTGTGGAGAGGGGGGCGGGGAGAGGGATGGCATTGGGAGTTATATGTGATGTAAATGACTAGTTGATGGGTGCTGATGAGTTGATGGGTGCAGCACACCAAAATGGCACATGTATACATATGTAACAAACCTGCACATTGTGCACATGTACCCTAGAACTTAAAGTATAATAAAAAAAATAATAAAATTGTAACACAAACCTGAACAAGTAATGAAAAAAAATGCTTTGTGCATCCTGTTTATTTAGCTTAAGAGCACTATAACGCTATGTTCAAAACCTAAATCATCACAAGCTATTTATACTGCAAGTACTCCATTTTTTAATAGCTCTGTCTGAAATTTCTGAAGTACACCTGAAGGGTTTAACAATGATTTATCATTCTGTCCTCTCTTTAGATCATCCAACCCATGGAATAGAGGCCCAGAAAAAACTTCAGCTGACTTTGACTAAACCTCGTAAAAGTTGGTTTGAAATTACTGTGGGTCCTAATCCCCAGCGCAGTGTTACAAATAAAATCTATTTTTGTTCTTCAGCTCCATACTGTGGGTAACAGTTTCAGCACAGAATTTGACCTCAAGCAACATGAACTCCGAATAACGCGTAAAGTAACATCAACGCGAGGCAGTATGTGTGAAACAGATCTCGGTCCCGTAACAGCGAAAGAGAAGGACAAATCAGATCATCACACAGGATGTCTTTTTTGTGCGATTTCGCATTTTCCCATTCAAAACAAAAAATAAATAATAAATTTGAAGCTACTCACTCATGGATTCTGTCAGCTTGGCCATTGTTGCAGTTTCTTCTTTGTGCTTTTCCTGGAGGTGAGAAGAAAAGACAATGATCTATAAAACATGTCTTAGATATGAATTGATCTAATTGCCACTTACAGCTGTATCTCTGTTCCTTCTTTTTCCTAGGTCAGAATTTGGTTTCTGATAATTAAATGAATAAAGACTCCACATTATAGTTATATTATCAGTCAGTCACTGAAAAGAGATTTTTAGGGCATTAAAAAGCTTCCCATTGCTCTTGGAAATGAGCGTCTGTCACACTGATCTTGGATATATATAATTGGTGACGCACGACCAGTTTTCAAAACCTCTTTGACACTGGATTTTTGACATCCATATGCCAATTTTTTTTTCTCTCTCTGTTTTCCCCCATTGAAGCTTTCTTGGTATTTTTGGAGTTGATATTTTTGTAGTCATTTGGTTTCTTCTTTCCAAAAAACTAAATAGATTTTGTACATATTTCTTTGTCTTACTTTTTGGGTTCCTGGAGCCTTTTAAAAGTCGTAAGCTTTGATGGGTTTATAACCTTATCTACTTTGTGCTGAAAACATTTTGTTTTAACCGAGATATAGGTTATAACCCACTGAGTTTGAAAGCCAGAATAATACACACAGAAATTCAATCTGTCCTGATTAAAACATGACTTTGGAGCTATTAAGAATAATGGTCATCTCTACTGAAAAGTTCTCTTTAATTTCTCCACAGTTCTTTGGCTTTCTTTAATTTCTTTGTGTTCCTAACATATGTAGTAACTGAAACATTGTCCACTGTTATGCTTTTTTTGCGGCTTTTTCTGTGAAACTATGTTCATTGTTTTAAAACTTCAGAAAAAAACTGAAAATTATAAATCTAATGCCACCCCCAGAGGAAATCATGGTTACATTTTGGTGACTGCTTTCTAGGCCTATTTCTTTACCTGTGCATATTTACAGATATGGGAATATGATCCTATTTTCATAGAGATAAGTAACTGTACTATACACATTTTGTGTTGAAGCAACGTTTTCATTTAACATCATATCACGCATCTTTCTATGCCAATCAAGGTAGAATACATCATTTTTTAATGACTGCATAGCATTCATCATGGGTTATATCATCATTTCCTTTACCAGATCCCATTTAATTTACTTAGAATTTTTCACTACTTCATAAAACATTGGGATGAGCATCTTGGACCTTATATGGTTGTGCACTTGTTCTGTGCAAGTTATTTTCTGAGGATAAATCCTAAGGTGAGGTATGGCTTGGTCAAAAAGTCTTAATATTAAAAATTCGGACATACAGTGGTCAATTGTCCCCCACAAAAGTTGTACCTGACAGTGTATAAAAGTGTTCAGTTCCTTCCATTCTTGCCAGCTTGCCAGTGGCACTAGCACTTTTGCCCCCTAATCTTTGCTAAATCAACAGGCAGACAACATGATCTTGTTATTTTATACTGTTGTCTTTCTCTGACCTTTTGTTTATGGACAACTGTAGTGTTCTTCCCCATGTCATCATTATGAAGTTTACTCATGGTTTCACATTGTTGTGTTCCAGCCCCTCTGCCATCAACATTTTAGTGCTTAGAAGCCCAGGGTGGTATTTGCTCTTCCCCATGGTCCCGATACAATGCTGAGTACAGTCTAGCGGTTTGGCTAACACTTGAATTGATGTGTCATGGCTTGGGTGTTGTAGTATGGATAGCAAGATCATTATTCGTCCTCCCTATAACACTATTCCCAAACTGAAAGGGTAAGCTTTGATTCAATGGCAACAAACAACTTCGCACATGGCAAGTATTCTTGATTTCCACAGCCCTGTATTCATGACAACGAAATCAGCACACCACCTCTTACTTAAACTAATAATTGTCCTTGAGAACAGAAGGAGCTAAGGAGCTGTAATCTACTAACCTGCTTGCTGTGGCATTTCACCCATGATATTTAGCCTACCACTTGGGTTATGTCAACATGCAGAGAAACAGCATGGCATGTGCCAGTTGAGAGGCTAAGTGTCACATCACAGAGCTGAATAAGACAGGCAGAGAGGAGCCTCTCACACAACACTGGTTCACGCGAGTGTGCACAGTGGCTGCTCACCAGCCGACCCCAGTGGGTTGTAACAATTCAGGCAGAAAAGCTGTTCCATGGCAGGGACTCAGTGAAGTTGGTCCCAGAGATTGTTCTGTCTCTGTGTGTCCTGTCATTGACTCTCAGCTTCTTGTAGCCCAGTTCAACTGTGTTGATCTGTCTAGCTGTACTGGCTCTCCTTGTGTCCTGGTCTGTGACTTGACTTCTCCATTTTCTGGCTCTGTGCTCCATCAGGCCTCACTCTGTATCACAGACCTCTTCAGCTTGACCCTTCTCTGATGGCACCAGCGGTAAGAACCCCCCAACCCCAAACCATAGGCATCCAGATTCCAGGCATTATATTTTTAACAAGCCCTGTTTAGTGTGTCTGTTTTCTTGTGTGTGTGTGTGTGTGTGTGTGTGTGTGTCATCACTTCATCTCTTGTGACCTAAGGACCCTGCCACATTCTGGACCCCGGTCTTGCTGGTGGGTGGTCCTTGCAGCTAGTTTTGTTCAGATGTGCTGGATATCTTAGTCCTAGAGATGTCAAATACCACCTGGACCAGCAATTTCCTCTTCCCTGTAGTTAAATGGAATCCTCTGACATTAAGTGGGGAGAGGCTCCTAAAATCCTAAATATAGCTCTCCCAGACTGACTCATCTATATCATAACTTATGGTGGAAATCATGACATATGTTTTGGTGTAAGTAGTTTAGTTATTCTATTGGATGTCTTTAAACTCCTTATGTCCTTTCCTCATTATCAGAAAGTTGATGTTTGCAGTTACACAACATGTATATCCAATAAAGCATTTACATTCATTCTCGGTCCCAAGCAAGTTCTCCTTATTCTAAAGCCAAGAGTTTCCTTCACAGCAAATTTCCTGGTTGTTGGATTTACATTACTGGGAAGAGATTTAGAATTACAGCATATTAACATTGGAAGTGATTCTTTTAGAGATTGTCAAGTCCAACCCCATAGTGATGCAGTTGATGAAACTGAAGCCCAGGGAAGAGTGTGATGTGCCAGGAAAGGATTTAGAGGGAGCCGATCTCTTTCCCTTATCCACAACCTCCGCTCTCCCAGAAATCTCAAGGCCCATCAAACCTAAGCCCATTTAGCCAAGATCCCTCACACAACAGTCCCAGTGTGGTGTTGAAGTTTCCTAGATTTGCCATTTTTATGTTCTTTCTTTGAGTACTCTCAATCACAACAATGTCCCTAATTTCCATGAATGGCTGGTAATGCCCAGATTCGTATATCCTGCCCTGACCTCTCCACGGAACCCCTGCTCTCCACTTCTTCTTCCTTTCTCAGCCCCTGATATTTTGCTTTTTTTTTTGTTTTTTAGATGGAGTCTCGCTTTGTCGCCAGGCTGGAGTGCAGTGACAGGATCTCAGCTTACTACAACCTCTGCCTCCCAGGTTCAAGTGATTCTCCTGCCTCAGCCTCCCGAGCAGCTGGGATTACAGGTGCACACCACCACACCCAGCTAATTTTTGTGTTTTTAGTAGAGATGAGATTTCACCATGTTGGCCAGGTTGGTCTTGATCTCTTGACCTCGTGATCCGCCCACCTCAGCCTCCCAAAGTGCTGGGATTACAGGCGTGAGCCACCATGCCTGGCCTATTTTGCATACTTTAAAGTTGGTCTTCCCTCACTGCACTCTACTTAGGAGACTATTAACATTGCCTCCACCTGATTGGAGCCTCACCTACAACCCGGAAGGTTTATCATGAAATAGCTCTGGGGGATCTATCTAAAACACAAACCTGATGTGGCCTCTCCCTGCTTGATCAGTTCTCCTCTAGCAAGTGAGAATGCAGTCCTTGCTTTCAGCCAGGGCCCCTGGACTGATGGCTCTTTCTTCTCCGCTCATACCTTAGGTCCAACTCCCTGCAACCCACGACCGTTTTCTACCTCCCTGCCTTGGCAAGCACTATTCCATCTGCCTAGATACTTCAAGTTCCACTTCATTCTTGTCCTCTGCAAATTCATCCTGAAAAACTCCACTGGGCACCACCCCAGTCTCTGCTGGCTCCCCTGCTCTTTCGGACCATTTTCCTGCGTTTTATCTTTAGGTTTGTTTGTGCACAAATGCATCCATGTGTCACATTGCATAATTTGTTATGGCATCGAGGGACTCTGGAAGCTTTGGAAAATTCCAAAGCCCCATCTCAATAGCCTCATCTGGAGGTCATGGGTGGGAGGCGGTGTGTGGTAGACCAGAAGCCTGACCACTAAACCTCCCTAGGAACCTGGACAAGTCATTTTACTTTTTGGGCTACTGTTTCCTGGTGTGCTCATTTCAGAAGTGGTCCGCTGCTTGCTGTTTCCTGGCCCGTCCTCCATCCCTTATCCCTGCGGACGTCAGCAACATGAAGAGGATACCTGAACATGCTCGGATAGACTGTGACTATTGGTGGTATTTTAAAGTGAAAAAAGACAGATATGTTTGCTTCAAGAACGTGCGTTAAAAACGTCTTTCCCTGGGGGAGCCGAGGGTTTTTATATCAGAGGTAATCATCTCATGTTGTTTCAAAATGAAAAGAAAATCAGAAATGCAGGAATCATACTTGTTGGGAGAAAAGCATTTACTTTGGCCTGAAAATTTTTTGTTCTTGTTTATTGTGTCTATCCCACTTGGATGTTCTTAGAGAGAGTGGCGGGGAGAGGGAGAAAGAGAGCATGTGTATAAGAGTTTGGAAGCCTGGGTCTAGAAGGGTTTTTGTCATGGCTTTACCACTTCTTATCCACTCATTAACTAATCTTGGAAGCTCTAATTTTCTCATCTTTAAAGTGGGGATAAGTGGAATTTGCACTGCCTGGTTCACAGGACTGTTTGAGGAACAAATGAGACGAGGCATATAAATACACTCAAGTGTAATGTCCATGTGTAGGTTTGTAATCATTATTCCATTTGGCTACCGTGTGGGGGCCCACAGTCAGAACCTGTTCTTGCTCTTTGAGG